AATTCTACCTGCTAAAGTTATTTTTAGAAGCAAATGCTGAGATGGCCCCTTGTTTTGCTTCTGGACATAAATATGACAATTCTTTTTGTATTCAGAATTCAACTTGTATATGTATATGGTAGGGATCTCAAAATTCAGAAAACACGCATTAAAATCACTTCTTCCCTTTGCACGTCACACACAGTATTTAATTGTTATTGAGGTAAAATAAAAACAAAATGAGCTGTTGACCTTGGCGCAAAACTTGAGAAAACTAGACCAAACCTTCCTTTGCATCTGGTCCTTTCTACGGTTTCTTTTTCCTTCTGTATACGTAGCTTACCGTCCTAAATCACACACGCACGTACGCAGCCCCCCCCCCCACACACACACGTGAAACATCTCTTTGAGACGACTGGAAGCTAGTGTGTAAAAATGGAATCAAAGAGATAAAAATATGACAAAAATACCAATTCATGGAAAAATATGACCATAGTATGGAAAATTAACGAAAAATGACCACAGGCTTTAACAATGCCTAAATATGACTGCATATGACAAAAGAAAATTGCATAATTTTAGTAATTGCAGTTAAAATCGTGCTTAACTTACATATTTCATGAAAAAAACTCACAAATAAATGACATGTCACAAACATCCGCTCCCTAGTCATTACCCTTATCCTTGAGAGTTTTATATACTGTTTAATCGAGAAGCCTACCTTAATGAAACTTTGTATATTTGGTGTTGAAGGCAGGAAGAATGACTTTGTCTACACGAGATTTCGAATAAACTACTTTCATCTCTTTCCCCTAACGCATAATTCAAAATTTACCCCTTTCTGATTATCACGAAATTACCTAACGCGGTGAGGAAGTAGGCCAAAGTGCTTTGTGATTATCTGAAAACCCCTACACTATGTTCAGAGCGGTTCGATTGGGGTTGGGGCAGGGCAGATGAGAGGGCATCGGGTCGGGTGACGAGACCTGACGGGGCGAGGAGGGCGAGGCGTGGCGGGCGGTGCAGGGC